GCGGGGATGCTTTCTGTAGTTCGATCATTGGATGTGGGGAGTTACTGTTTTCACGCATCCTGACTGGAGAACCATCCGCGGAACTCGTTGACTCCGTTCTTCCCTGGAGTAAGTTACTTAGCAGCCAGTGATTTTGCTGTCCTTGCTGTTCCTTAGTCTGATCAGAAACAGAGTTCATCTCATCTTGATTATTGATCGATTTTATAATCTGTTACAAATATATTTTACTATTAATCGCAAACACAGCATAAAAAATTAAAATGTATAAAATAACAAATAAATTGACGAGCATATAAATGTTGCCAATCACTTTTAAATTATCATCCTTGAAACACAGGAATTTCCTCAATGAGTGTTATGCACAAAGAAATTAGTAATAAATGTCAAAGAATATTGAATAGAAATTATTTACCGTGTCATTGGCGATTATAGTACTAGATGCTGAAATTAATCGTTTATTGTGCTTCAGATGATCTACTTCAGCGTCCTTCAGTAGAGATGACACAAATGCTGCATCTTTGTGAAAGTCGGGATGCTTAGTATTAATGTATGCTAATTCTATGGCAACCAAGTTCTCTACCTTTTTTAAAAATTAAATCATTATATGAGTATATAAAGAACGTGTTATATATGTATAGAATGGATATTTTAATTTACCATTGAATTGGTAGGTGGGAGTCGTCTACGTAGCAGTAGTGTAACAACATCGACGATACGCTCATGCAATTTAGGGAAACGCAGCATTTCCTGTTGCACCTCAGTGCCACAATGCTGTATTATACTCTGCATTTCTTCGTGTACAAGCTCTACGCATCGTAACGAAGGATCCTCCAATTTTCGTATTTGCCGTTTAACCAGCAGTTCAAAGGAAACTTCTGGCACAAAGAGAGCTGGTCTCGGACCAGTTGCGTTGCGAATAGCAGTTAATATATCGACTTTACTGAGATCTGCCAGTGGATTAATTGAATCGAGCGTTTTACCAAACGTCTCGTGAAATATATAACATATGCGAGCGCCACCACACAACTCAGTGGTTTCTATGTTTCTCGCCGTTCCCTCTATCGTAGCGCAATAGCTGTTTGCAAATTTCGTGATGATTTGTAGCAAGGTTTGGCTTTTGTCTTCGACATCTCCGCCATAAGAATTAAGTAAGGTTTGATATTGAGCTACCATTGTATTCACTCTGTTCTGTTTAAAAAAAAGCACAAGTTCTACCAAATTATGCTTACTTTAGTAGATTCTAGCTATATCCCGTAATTTAACATTCTATTATTAATACTATTACCTTCAACTCTGGTAAACAATCCCTAATGTGTTGCATAAGTAAACGATTAAGAGTCTTTGCTAAGTATGGAGTGCCATTTCTGTTAGCCAACGTTGGATATTTACGTTGCAAAAATGTGGCTTCATCTTTCAATGCTTCCTGAATACTTTTATTATTCATTATATCTTGCTGAGAACGATTAACTACACCTATAATACCCAGTTTAACTGGAATCACTCTACCACATAAAATATCTATAGCGTCAGTCCCTTAAAAAGAATTAAGATATTTAATAATTGTTGTTACATACAATCAATCCTGTGCATTTTGATAAATTTGAAAAGAGAGTAAAGTCATCAAGAAGGATAACAAATTAAATTTACCAGCATCCATGAGATCTAATTTTGTAACAACTGCTAATGTTCGTCTACCATCTGGATCAACATCTTTGCTGAGCTTCAAACTCTCGCTTGTAGCCATGTCAGTATTGGCAGTGACAACTGCTAAAATTATAGAGTTAGGACTACATATGTACTTTAATACAAGCTCACGTATCTGAGACTCGATGTCTTCCGGCTGATCGCCTACTGGCACTTTTGTAATACCAGGTAAGTCTATAAGCGTCAGATTAACGACAGACGTTGAGTAAATTTTAAGATTAATTGGTTCTGGACAAATCCCTTTGTTTGCCCCAGCCATTCTGTCAGTTTCTGCTTCAATCTCTGTACGAATATCGTCAAAATCTTTGTAAATCTTATTCTTTGTATGCAGAAACATTCCCCACTCCTCCAAGTCCAGGGTGCCATTCTCTGCGCTTCTGTGTTCTCGATCATCTTTAGGTGTATATACAAGTTGTAGTATCAATGGACGTCGTGTGACAATACCAGTCCCTCGCGGTAGAAAAGAACGGCCTACCAAGCTTTCTATTACAGATGACTTTCCTGAACTCTGAAAAATTCAATATTTGTTCTTAATCCATATATCTGACAATAGATGTTATTCGATTTTGATTCATTCAGAACAAGTGATTTTTTCAGCTAAAGTCTCTAAAAAAATTTATCTACAAAAAAAAACCACTGTATTCTCCAAAAGTATTGCATATGAAAATGTATGAAGATACTAACATGTGTTACATATATTATAAATTTTGTTAGTATTTTTGTATACAATATTTTTCCAGAATAAGCCGTTAGATCTAAGACGGATATTCATAGTTCTTATTTTAATATCGTCTTAATATACTAATCTTAAATAATATCTTAAAATACAGCTCTGTGGCTGATATTCATAGTCAATTCTTATTTCAAGACCGTTTTAACTAATGTTTGAGATACTAATACAGCCCTCTAATTGGTTCGTGACACTTCAAGATTGAACTTAAGATGGTCTTAAATACAAAAGCTGACTATGAATACCAGCTTACGATTAACTTATGACATCTCAAGACAGCTTTAAATGTGGAAACTGACTGTAAATCAAAATTCCTTTGAGATTGTACACTTAGTCACATCACAATATTTTGGTTTTGTCTGTCGATTGATTACACGAAAGTAAATACGAAACTCCTAAGTAAACTGTATAATTCAAGCGCATTGCAGAGAATACAATATTATTTTTTTTCAACTACAACACTAATGCAGCAAGCAGCTTATCATGAGCAGATAACCATTACGCTATTCACGACAAAGAAATGACAATAGAACAAAGAAAATTCGAACGTCAGTTAACCAACGTTAGATCCGTTCCTTTCGATTGCACCTTCTCGCAATTTTTCTCTCTTACCGGACAGAGATTTCGATCGCGCATTTGTTTAACCTTGAAAAGCGGAGAAGGTAGCAAAGTCCAGATGAAAGGGGCGGATTTGCCATTTGCTGTTTTCGGTTTGATGTCAATTGACTGCGGGCCGAATGAACACTCCGGCTAACCTGCGTGCCCAGGACGACGATCTGCGGCAATTGTAACACGGTAGCACCGACGGTGTTAAACACATCCTGCAGTTTGTTTATCACAGGTATAAGGGCTTCCATGGTGGAGAAGATAGGCGACGACGAAGCTTCCGCGTCGCGTCGACGTCGTCGACGAATGAAATCGATCGAAACCGCCTGTCGGTTACAAAGCCGGTTTCAAGTATAACGCTCGCGTCTCTCTCCTTTCCTCTCCTCCCCAACTTACAGCCGTTCGGCCGCGGTTCACCCTACTACGCGGTTCCGTGACGGAAGCGGATAGATATTCTGCACGCTGAATCAACAATCGATGCGCTCAGCAACTATAATTCGTTTGAAATCATTTCAAATACTGACGAAATACTAACCGGCCATTTTCTGAGCTAATTATCTATATATCAATACGGATCCGGGAATAATGAAGAATAATAACTTCGGATCATACAAAGCGAACGACAGTTATCAACGCCGATTAACTTAATCGACGATTAACTTAATCAGCAGTGTAGCCAAAAACAAGACTGTATTGTTCTTAAAACTTTATCTCTTCATGATATACTTGTATCTCTGCGTTATAACTGTGATAAAAGTAATAAATATCGTCTGTATCAATAATAGTAATTTAAAAATATGGAATTAAAATGAGCAAAAAATTTTACGGAAAAAAAATGATTTAATAGACGATTGATTTAATGATTTTTATTTAATGATTTGTGTCTAATATCACGAAGATGAGATAAAGAAGAACGATATACGATTTGCTGTTTTGGCTACACTGATGATTGAGTAATCGTCAATTAAGTTAATCGGCGTTGGTAACAGTCGTCCTAAATTTATAATTTTTTAATAGAGTTATAAAATCACATTATTTAAGTGAAAAGTCGAAACAGGCATGCACAATTCGACTTTACAGTTAAGTAAATGTGACTTTAACGTTTACCGTATCTGGATATCGATCATGAAACTTTTTCCTTGGGATGAAAAATGAAAAGTGACAATTTTTACCATTATAATTAATGGAGAAATTTTTCACTTATTATTTTCCATTCTAGGGAAAAAGTTTCATGATCGATATTCTGGATGCATGATATTGCAAAAACTCCTTGTTACGTAAGTGCTGCATAAAATTTTAATACCATAATTTTCTATATATTGCCGAAAAATTACAATTTCTTCTATGCAATTATTATCATCTCTGTATATTAATATAATTGAGTATTATATTAATTAAGAGACAATTAACTCTTTTTGTCAACGGAGACTATTTTTGCCTGAGTAAAAAATCACTGCTGGAAATTAAAATCTAATTAATCTTTAAAATTAATCGTTAAACTCTTTGATAGATTTTAGTTATGTCAGCGATTTAATTTTTCATATCAGGAAAAAAGTGTAATTTATCTCCACTTCCTCAGAGGGCGGTAGTGCGTAAGGTTCTCTGTTTCTTTCTAGTAGACTGAATGTATGTATACATACATACTCTTTGACTGTGTTCTGGCGCCTCTGGCGGCCTGGCGTCATTTGTTTTGAAAATCTTGAAGCCTGGACGCTCGGAGTCATCCGGTGTATGTTTGTTGATTGTTGATGTTCGTTCATCAGCCAATCCAAGAGAGGCGAGGTTATACGAGGTTAAGAAGTGTGAATATGGTGGTGCAAATGATTCTTTTGCTGTTTGTCTTTGAAAGATACGTAAAGTAAAAAATTGTACGAGTTTGCGCGGACAGTGCGAGTTAAAAGAGCTTTCGCTGTTCGTATTCTTACTTAAAAAGAAGAGAAAACGCAAACTGGAAAAAACAATGTCGAGGATGTACAAGCCGTGGGACAATCGCAATAACCGAGGAAACAATAACAAGGCTTACTTCGGTGAATATTTCAGCGCTTTTACCCATTACGTATAATTTGGAATATACGTTCAAGAATACGTTCTATTTTACGCATGATTTTATTCTTTAATATTTCGTGAACAATAAGGATAAAATATTACATTATGCATGTGGAATGTATTCTTAGACATGCACTATACTTTGATGTCCGTCCTGTGTCTTCAACATTCATGCCATGTAGATAATTTCTACCTAACTCCTAAAATTTGTTTGCTCGCAACTCTTTTTTTTTTTACTCACAAGACTGTTAGCGAGAAAACAAAATGCAAAAATTTATTTTAATATGTTAAAATATGAATAATTTGTTTTTTTTTTAAATAAATTTGTTGTGTTTATATATTATATCCATATCTATATACATATTTTCTTCTACTCCTTTCCTGAAACATAAAAGTATTCTATTCTAGACCTGAAAATATCTAGTCACATTGAACATTAAGAATATAAGGCTATAGTTACTAAAACTTTTATATGTATCACTGCATTTGTGCAATATAAATTTTTTAACATGTGATTCAAGAATTTTTATATATATTTGATGTTCTTTTTATACTGCTATTTTATGTTACATTTAATTTTTTTAGCACTTGCTACATAATGATAATAATAGTAATAACACAAAATTATAAGATTATACATGATAAAATATTTTATACAAATCTATGTACAATTATATATAAATACTATATTATTTTCGAGTTATCTAAACTATTATGAATTTTTTATATCATGAGAACCTTATGAAAAGTAATAATTAAGAATCACTAAAAATTAAAGAGCTAAATCTTGTTTAAAATAAATTTTATGACGAGAATAATCATTTATTTTATAATTTTCTATTTTATTTCATTATTTATTTTTAGATCATAATAATCGAGGACCTATAGAAAGAGATGGAAAAGTTGGTCCAATCAGGCATCATGTATCATTTAAGATTCATAAAACTAACAACCAAATATCTCGTAATTTGGCATTTGTAAACTTGGACGACATTTCATCGACTTCTGATAATAATACAAGACAAATGATAATCAACCAAAAAAATAGAGAAAGAGGTAATAGGATTTGGCATAATGTTTCTTCTAGAAGAAACAATCAAATGCCTAATTTCAAGGGAGTTCAATTTCAAGGACTTCAAGGAAAAAAGTTTAAGGGAGATCAATCAAGTTCAAGGATGCAACCTTTTTTTTTAAAAGAATCTAATGGGTATAGAATTAACGTGAGTATATTTCTATAATTATAAATTATATTCAAGTACATGTATGTATATAGATTTGAAATAAATTTCTATTTGTATTTTACAGATACCATATGGCCATAAGTATGAAAGAGATTTTATTATAAATACCCTTTTGAATTATCTGGCACCTAAAGTATTTGTTCCTATAATGGTATGTGATACTTAATAACCTTTTTTAGGAGAAATTAACATTTTTTATTTAGTATATTTAATACCTGTAATTATGGTTTAATATGACACATGAATAAAATTCATATACAGTATCAATAAAATTCATATACAGTAATTGTAAACAGTAGTACATATATAAATAAAAATTAGTCTAAAACCATAAAACCTTGTGACTAAAGTAAAAATTTATTTACAGTACAAGAAAACGGGAACTGATTCTTATTTCTACATAGATGATCATAAGACAGCAAATGCATTGCTGAACTGTGATCGAAAGATTACGATGAGTAATGGATTTAAACTGCGAGTGAAGGTAAAACCAGAATTTCCGTTCTGTAATATTGATGACGAAGTAAAAGAACGAGTGAAGCAAGCATTAGCTAAGAGATACAGACAAGACACCAAGGCTTTGAATTTGTCCAAATTTCATCTTGATTCTGGTAAGAGTACAAAGAAACTACAGATATGATGAAGACAATAATATAATAATTGATATTAAATTTATAATTTGAAAGTTTTAACATACATGTATTTATCTTACAGATCTTTGCTCTGATTACTTTTATGCACTATCCTATCCTATTATGATGATGACTGTGTTGGATATTATGGTGGAGTACATACCGAATTTAGAAGCCTTGAATTTGGAAGGAAATAAACTACAAAATATTGAGAGACTCAGCATACTAACAAAGAAATTCGTAAAATTAAATATTCTTCATATGGGCGATAATAAGGTGAATTTAGCTAAATAAGAAAATATATATAATCATCAACATGATGTTTCAACAACCTTAAGTTAATTACATATTTTAGATTAAAGATATTTGTCAACTAGACGCTATTAAGGACCTAAAACTGAACGAATTGAAGTTAGTTGGAAATCCTGTCTGTAACAAGTATAAATCTCAACCAAATGACTACGTTAGGTAATGTATTATTTCACAGTAATCTTTTCTTTTACACTAAGAAACAGGGGAAGTATAAAGTAATTTACTATTCTTCCTCTATTCGTGAGATGATATTTTGACAGAGATCGTGTTATATTTATTTAAACAATTTTTATATTTGTGACTCGTTAATTTTATTATAATTATACACATGTAAGTTTATTATTGTTGATTCGTTAATTCTATTATACACACTTAATTTTAAATTTAACATTGAAAATGACCCAATCGGTGTCGAAACGTATGTACGAATTCTTACTTGCGAATTTTACTCTGTTTAATGTATTGCGATTTTGAGTTAATTACATTTATATATCTTTTTAAAAAAATTATTGGCTCTTTTCTCTTATTTTTAATCAATTAATTTTTAAATATATATAGACATTTTTAAATTAAGCTTAATTTTCCATTAAATATTGTTATATAATATATAGATATTTACACTATTATATGTATATATATGTGTGTGTCTATGACAGCAAATTGTCTATTTAATAATACAGACATATGCACACACACACAAATGTGTAAAATTCATTATTAAATTATAAGATTTTATTTAAGAAATGTTTAATTTTTAAATTTTCAAGTAAATGATTTATATCTGTTTCTGTTATTCAATGAAGCTTTGTATTTTTGTTATTTATTATTATTTGGATCAAGTGGACTTTTCTTTTTCATTATAGAGATGTCCGAAAACGATTCCCAAGATTACTGGTTTTGGTGAGTACATATTCATATTGCTACATATTCATAATTAAAAAATTTCTTTTCTCTTGTAACATAATTTTTTGTTATTCTACTGGACAGGATGGCACAGAATTACCACGACCGATCATTTTCGATGTAATTGATGAAGATGCCAACATTCCTCAATCGCAAAAGATGTTTGCTGCTGTCGATGCAAAAGTACAAGAAATGGCTAAGCAATTTTTATTACTGTATTTTACAATATTCGATAGTGAGAATCGTCAACCTCTACTGGACGCATATGACGAAAATGCATGCTTTAGCATGACGATAAGCATTTCTAATAATAACAAGTGAGTATTTATGTAACGTTACTTTATTTTCTTTTTTTTTTGCAAGATTCTCCAATTCGAAAAAATAGAAAGAAGTTTCGTAATTTTTCATCTTTTAACACAGAAGTTTTTGATCATTTACATCTTTCAAGTAATAAATAATAGGAATAAAATATAAATTTTGCAATACGAAAAAAGGAAGTAACTGTAAATAACTGTTGAAGGAATGTTAATTTATTTTCTATGTTGTCAATCAATTGACATTGAGGTTACATCGTTTAACATATAAACGAAAATAATACGTCGAAGTTTTAGTTTTTAATTTTAAAATAATTTTTCAACTCCATTCCTTCATATAAATATAATTTTTCAAAATTCTTATATTTTGTTTGCGATTAAATTATCTAAAATCTTCTTTCTCATAAGATTTAAGCTGTTGTAAAAATTAAGGAAAACTCTCTATTATAAAATTTAACAAAAATTTATAAACACGTATTAATTATAAATTAATTAAACATTAATTATAACTTATTTTTAAAATTTAATGAAGTTCTTATATTAGATGAAAAGATTAGAGAATTGTTTTAAATATTCTCGTATAATATATGAATATATTCTAAACATTCTTAGTATTGAGTGATGGTTATAATTCAAAATTATAGTACAATTCAATTAAAATTATTTTTCATAGATTAAATGGATATCACTTGGAGAATCGAAACCTATTTAGAATAAACGATCCAATCAGAAGACAGAAATTTTTGAAACAGGGTAAATTACCTGTAGTTTCTTTCATATCAGAAATACCACGAACAAGACATCTGTTGAATACTCTTACTATGGACATCTCTCTTGCTACAGTAAGTAACTATTGTTACTACGAGTGATCATATACCGTGTTAAGTTTTATGTAAGATATAAAGAGATGTATAAGAAACAAAGATAAACTTGTAATTAATTTTTTATTTAATCACAGCAAACAATGATGTTCATTACGATAACAGGCTACGTTCAACTTAATACAAACAAGGAAGAGTCCATTTACTACTTCAACCGGACATTTATAATTGTTTCGAAGGATGAAAGGTACTGTATTCGGAATGAACAGTTGCATATTAGTCAATTGCCTGAAGCGCAATTAAAACAACTGCAGCAGCAATTGAATCAGTTAGGAAATCAACAAATCCAGTTGGAAGCGCCAGCACTGAGTTCCATAGAAGTAACGAATCTTATAGCATCAGAACTCAATGACGAAATGAAGCAGCAGATGGTATTGACGTTAAGTCAACAGACAAATATGAATCTGGAATGGAGCTTGAAATGCTTACAAGATACGCAATGGAATTATAATAATGCAGTCTCTGTCTTTATTTTAAATCGTGAACAAATACCATCACAAGCGTTTACAAAGTAAACGTATGTGAGCAAGGAAACTCATTACTGTGATAATAACTTGTAAGAAAAATTCGAACTTGTAAAATATCGAACTCCATTTCATTTCGTTTCGTTTCGTTTATATTGCATTTGTTTCCCACGGGTATGTTTATTTCTATTTTATATTAGAATCTAAATAGAACATTGGACATTTATGTTACTTGCCAATTTTCTATTTTTGGCAATGAAGGATAATTAATTTTTGCATAAAAGGAAAAGCACTAGAAAAAGTAATGTATATTAAAAGCTACATTAATATACACATATTTAGATTAATACAAATTATTAAAAAATACTTTAAAAAATATACAGAATCACCTTTTTCGTTTATATGGAATTTACGAAATGCGTAGTGTGTCTTTTGAAGGAAGTTATTAAAAATCGCAATTTTATTTAAAATTACAATCTCAATAGCATATGATTAGTAAAAAAATTCCATCAGTAAGGAAGATGTGTGTGAAAAAAAATTATTGATTGTGAACACAACATTTGAATAGCGCTCAGTAATAATTGCCTGTCATTGGAGTAAACCTTTATACATTTATAAATCTATGTGGATATATATATATATATATATATATCAATAACGATACATGTATTGATGAGTGCTTGCTCAACTGTTATGTCCACTATGCTCATTTTTTCTATTTATATTTGACAACACTATAATGAAAATTGTAACACTACTAAAGAATTATTTGAATACCATTGTTTTTCGGGAAAATTTTGTTTTGTGAAAGCTTACACTATAATTGGAAATGCTAAGAATGGTTATAGTTGGTAGTATATTACAAATCATTGGAATTGATTTAAAATATAAATATTAATATTAAAATTGTAATAAAATATAAATTTTTGAGTATGATGTATGAAATCACTTGTCATATGATGAAAGTGACTAACTGAATAATTTCCAAAAAATTTTTATTTAAAAAAAATATTTATTTATATACTTTTCTCATTGGTGTTATTACTTGATAATATATGCAATATTATAAATTAAATACATACAATATATAAATTAAAATATGGATAATTTGCATTTTGTCAAAAGTATAAAGTATGAACACGAAGAAAAATTTGTTTCATTAGTATCTTTGTATTGCCGACTCATCAATATTTCATGTATATTTATTGTGATATTATATATATGCATATATACAGGGTGTCCCAATAATTATTACCACCTGAAATATCTTCTAATCTATAAGGTGAAGAGAAAAATTTATATAATCAAAATTACACGATGTAAAAGGAGCTATCATATGGTGATAATAATTTTTGTCCAGGTGGAGGCGCTTCGGAGATTTCAAGATCAACTTCGTTTTTTTAAATAGAATTATATGAATTTTTTTACACAATATGATTTCTCTAATTATTCTACATAAAAAAGTATTAAGGTCATAGTACCGAAAAATCACTAGTTTACGAGATATTTTGCATCTTATTCTGACATAACTTTTACGTCAAATAAAACGGATACATCGTGCTCAATAACACACAATTTATTATTTAATTTATTTAACAGTAACAATTGATTAAATATTTAATAATTTTATTAAATTTAAAGGTGTTCGAAATAATGGCCATCATTATTAATGTAACATTGGATTCTTCTGATTATTGATTAGCATGCTGTTCTAATAACGTCAGGAAATATTGACGTACAGGCCTCAATAATCCGTTGCATATTGTAAGATGTAGTTGGTTGTTCTTTGTACACCATGTCTTTTAGGGTTCCTTATAAAAAATAATCCAGTGGTGTCAAGTCTGATGAACAAGCTGGCCATGTTACCTCCCGCGTTCAATCCAGCGATTGGATACACTATTCTTCTTAATATCAGTTTCTCGTTCAATTTGTCGCAAACTATTTTGAGGATTTTGAGTTACCTTTGCGAGAATCTAAATTTCATTCCCTGCATGGGTTATTCGCTTGTCACGTTCACTCTTTTACATATTCAAACTACTAATTTATCTAAGTTTATCGCAAATATTTTTAAATGTTCGACGCGAAGGTTGAGTGCGATATCGTTCAGCGTATAAATTTTGCTCGCACTGAATTGTTTTGACATTCTCTATAAAGAGGATCATATCAACTTGTTCTTCAAACGAAACATCTTATACGATTAATGGCCAATTTCTTCACTTCCAGATAAATTGCGGATAATTTTATCCAGAAGATATCTTCATTGTATTCTAGGAGATATCTCTTGGACAAGAGTTATCTAGAGGTGAAAAAATTGGGCATAACTGATGTATCGATACTAAATTTTTTATATTTAATTTTATTTCGTTAACTTATTAAGACGTCCTTCAAAGAATGTTTGTTTTTATTGAAGCACGATGTATTCGTTGTAAGAAAAATTTGATCTTCATTTATGAAGAATGAATCCAGATGTAATTTTAATCTTGATATCTCGTAAACTATTGATTTTTTGGTACCACATGATCTTAATATTTTTAGAAGAGAGAAATCATATTGTGTAAAAAAACGAAGTTGACTTTGAAATCTCCGAAGCGTCTCCACCTAGACAAAAATTATTATCACCATATGATAGCCCTCTTTACATCGTGTAATTTTAGTTCATACAAATTTTTCTTTACACCTTATAGATTAGAATCTTATAGAAGATATTTCAGGTGGTAATAGTTATTGAGACACCCTGTATATATAAATTTATTTTTTGAAAGTAAACTTACGGGACAGGTAAAAAAAGGTTTTGATACTTTTTATTTTTAAAAAATGTAAAAATATAAGAGATTTTATAGAAACGATTTTTATATTATAAAGGAAAACCCGAATTTTATACAGGACATATAATACATACACAATCGAGCACGAAGTGTCACAGATTTATATGTGATAAATTTATTTTTAGTAAAATCAGTATACAAGTGGTATAAAATTTTAAATTACTAAAGTTTGAACCTTGATAAATAAATGGAATGTGTGATATTTTGCTATCATGTATATTTCATATATAAAAAATCAAAAAGTATTTCTCTGAAAAGAAAAAGATCTTTCAGTTCGTACTTGTAACAAAAAAGTATTCTCTATTATTATCTATAACGAACATCGTACAGTTAACTTAAGATATTTTACGTTTATATTGTAAAGAAAGATACTGTTTCTTTTATATGTCTAAAAAAATTATTTGATTTCTCAAATGTAGAACTGTTTATGCTTTGTTAACTGAATTTTATCATATGTATAGTACAAATAAAAGTCAGATTTTCGCATACATGTTTAAATTTATAGAAGTCTCAAAAATAATAATTCAACTAATAGAGAAAATATTTTAATTTAATACTATCTTCAAAAAGATAGTGTAATTTTGTAGAGAAAGTATAATGCAGTTTCTCAAAATGCTCAGAATTGTCGCTTCACATATACCTATGTCGATACATATACATTACAATTAGATGGTTTTTTTTATGAATGATAAACAGTACCATAGGATATATATTTTGTGCTTCTATAAAACGCTGTATTAAGTGGAACAGAGCTCGCTTACATTATGTGAGCATAAATTATTAGATTGAGGAATAGTCGTGATGGATTCAATTTTTTTTATTAATACTTTCCTATGTTTAGTTTTATGTATATATCTATGCAAAATAAAATTTTTAGTTTGTATTATATTGAGAATGTGGTGTGAATTCCACACCATGTATGCACACATCAGAAAATGTTGGAAATCTTCGTATGTCAGGATGATCTAAAAATTTCGATTACAGAACAATAACTTTATACTTCTAACTAGGATGTAATGAAGTGTAATGATATGTTACATGCCGAAAAATGTTAAATTGCAATTTGAATTCCAGATATCATCTTGTCATATTTGCATTCAGGTGAAAGATTCAGCGTAACCTTTTTGGACGGACATAGAACATTTGTTACTAGAAGCCTGTTTGACATGCAGCAGTTAAGATTAAGCACATCAAAGCCTACAATCCATGATATATGCACTTATTGTTAGCTTATATCGTCATAGTGGATGTTATATATTTTCTATTAATGACATTTGCATATAATAATAAGATTTATATACCGTAAACATCTAAATGACGAGTAAAAACGAAGAGAAAATAATTTATACTCACATTAGTATGCGACAATTTTAAGTTTAAAAAATGTACGCATGTTTCTGACTGGATAATGATACGGCAGAGTACCCAAAAGACTAATACGGTATTATGCAAGAATATATAAATCACTGATTCAGAAAACTGAATATTTCTTTTTTTATATTGATAAATATGATAGATATAGCAGCGTTTAAAAGTATTTACTCGCTCTATCTCTTATAGTGGAATTAGAATGCAATTTAGGTGTATAAAGAAAATATGTATACCAAATTTGGGACAATTATAATAATTTTGAGCGTTAATGTGTTCTCGATTTATAAAACTTACACAAATGTACAAAGTGTAAGTAGAAAAATCTATTGATATAAATGTTGCATAAATAATCATCATTCGTACTTCACAAGAGAAGATGAATAAATATTATTAATGTAATTAAATTATTAATGTAATTAATAAAAGTTAACAAAATAAAAAGAAACGATATGTTATACATAAGGTAAATAGTTTTATTGATAAATGTGTTAAAAATTGTTTGTACAGCCAATACTTGATAGTAAAATTAATAAAACAAAAGTTTTTATGTAAGAAATGAACAAAAGAACAAAAGAAATGATATATTATAATGTATACATTTCTTAGTTATATAAATTTTGATCTCTATATTATATATATAAAATATATACCTTTTCTTTAGAAGGCTTTTGGAAAGAAAGCGTATCAAAAAAATTAAATTTTTTACCAAGATCTTATACGATCAATAATAATACTGACCAACAAATATTGACGGTATTATTATGATTAATATTTACGGATTATATAATCAAAATTTTAAATCTTTTTATCTAATAATAATATATCATGAAAAGTAACTGATATATTATTAATTAA